AGCGACGAAGGCCTCGAAAGCCATGTCCTTGCTCGGAAGGTTAAGGTGCCAAACGTAACGCGTAGCGGCATCGATGAACGTGATGGTGTAGCTGTATGCTCCTTGTCCAGGTTCGCGATTGTACAGGATGTCGCTGTACACTTTCTCAAGTGGTGCGTAAGCTGGTGCGCTGGGGTTGTGGTGAGAAGCGAATGGCCGATGTGGTAAGTTAGCTTCGGGGCAGGTAAAGCACGTTCCACGAGCTCGTCGAAGTTCGCTTCCATCGGTTAGGAGCAGTGAATCTTTGTCGAGTACTCCTGCTCTGATTGTGTTGTTTAACACCGTGTTGCTTGGATGTCCCATTCGTGCGTGCCAGATGTCTTCGCCAGCTCGATGTCCGGGTGAGCGACGGTACAAGTCGGAGTTGGAGTAGAAGCTTGCGGTGAAGTTTGCGCTTCGATGTACTTCTCGTGGTGTTGGGTTAAGCTGCTGCGCAGGAGTCGGTGGAGTGTCGTCGATTGGAGCCGATGCAGTTGAAGGACCAGCGATTGGTGTCGATGTTGTCGCTGCTGCTGCCGTTGTTGTCTTTGCTGCTGCCGATGTTGTCTCTGCTGCTGCCGATGTTGTCTCTGCTGCTGCCGATGTTGTCGTTGCTGCTGCCGGTGTTGGTTCTGCTGCTGCCGAGTGTTAAATTGTTGCTAATGCTCTTGTTCGTTCTGCCTCAGGGATGGTGTGCGAGTACCAGAAGCCTTCTGGACTGAAGTCGGGGTCGAGATCCGGTGGATGTGTCCAGGAGGTGAAAGTGACAATCCCGTCGCTGTCAGCGGTGCCAAGATCTGGGACGAAGTCGAGGACGAAGACGTTGTTTTTCAGGACCGCCTTCCCGATGTAGAGACCGCCCTTCCCGTGGTATAACTTGAACTCCTGAGTGGTGCTATCTGCTTCGAGGTGTATGCCCTTCGCCATCAGTTGACTGACGCTCAATAGGTTGTAACCGAGCCCTTCTGCTATTAAAACCTTCGACATCTGCAGTATGACGTTTGTCTCTCGTGACTGAAGTTGCACTACGCATTGTCGTCGTGTGCGCAGGTTCTGATTGTTGGCTACGGTGATGACGACCTCGCGTTGAAGTTCGTGTTCGCGTTGAACAAAGTGTCCTGAAGAGCACATGTGTTGTCCGCAGCAACTGTCCAAGAACCAGGTATCCTTCCCAGACAGTTCGCTTTGGGCGATGGCTGCGTACGTTGGGTTCGGTTGCAGAGATTCTCGACGTGGAGTCCTTTCGTCGAGTTGTTCTTCTGGTGAGTAGTGCGGCGGCGATTCAGTGATGCAGGAGTCGGTCAATCTTGCCATGCAGCTGACGATGTCCCTTGTTCCTTGTGCAGGTTGTCCCGTCGACTTTGTTGACGTTTGAACTTGAGTGGTGGAATTTGCTTGCGTTGAGGCGACTTGACTGCTTGAAGGTCGAAGCTGCCGCTGCGTTGGTGCTGACTGTTGTCGGTTAGGGCACTGTGTGCGAGGATGACCTGACGTCTTGCAGAGATGACAAAACGGAGGTACGGGTTGTTGACCTTGGTACTTGTTTTGCCGATGGTTGTTGTTGTTGTAGCGCCGTTGAGTGTGGAAAGCGAACTCAGACACTGACGTCTTCCTCTTGTGTTTTTCTTCTTGTAGGTCCATGTCTTGCTGTTCGGCGTGAATTTCAGCGCACAATGCTGCTTCGGAGACCTTCCCGTGAGCTCGGAGTATGGCGCGAGTGGAGCGCCAATGAGGACCAAGACCGCCAATGACGACTGTGACGAAGGCGTCTTCTGATATCGACCCTCCGCATCGAAGGAGTTTGTCGCGCAATTCGCGACAGCGGCTGATATACGCCATCCCTTTTTCGCCCGGTTTCATTTCCACTGTTGTCAGTTGTGCCATTAACCGACTCTGATTGACGCTGTCTGTTGCCTGATACAGGTTCTTCAGGTGGTTGTACGCGAGCTCGGCGGCGTTTCCGTATCCTCGGTAAGACCGAATGTTCTGCTGCTGGTTCGGTGTGACGTTGCGCAGTAGGATTGTATACGCCATCATAGATTGATACGTATACTGCTGTTTGTCGTATTGCGTGCCGTTTGTTGGATATGGCAGGGACCCATCGAAGAAGCCAAGAATCTGCGCGCCTTCCATCATCAGTTCGAATTCGAATGACCAGGTAAAGAAGTCCTTTCCGTCGAATGGTTTTGATGTCTGCAGTTTTAAAACGTGCGCAAACTGCGACTGAACTTGAAGTGCATCTAGTGTCTTCTCTTGCTCAAGTGAAGGCTGCTGGCGCGGCATGAAGCTGACGGAGCCGCACTGAGGTTCGTACGGGGCGAAGGTAGGTTGTTGCTGATTTCCTCGTGCGTAGGATGAACCGTCGAGGCTCAACGGTGTTGCGTTGTTGTTGTTGCTGTTGTTTGACTGTGCAGGTGCCCCTTGCTGGTGTTGTTCGTAGAAGGACATGAAGGAGAAGAATTTCTCCATCATGTCTGGGTCGAAGGCCGCGGCTTGATTTGCGGGAGTTTCTGTAGACGTTGCCCTTGGTCTTGTTGCCGTACCCTCCTCTGTCTGTAGGCCACAGGCAGGAGGTGGAGTAGGAGTAGTACCGGGAGAGCCGTTAGAGGAGCTTCTCTCCTTCTGTGTTGCCATGCCTTGTAATGTTGTGGGTGTCTTGATTGTAGTTGAATTTGTCCTGATAGCTCTCATACCATGTTGGGCTGAGAAAAGCCCTTAGGATCTTTGCAGGACTAAATTCTGAGTAGGACAATGTAATAGCGGAAGCGTTAAATGAGAACTTTGTGTACCACCTTGCGCTAGTATGTGAGGGCAAAGTAGATTGATTAAAACAAAGGGATACAAGCTTTTATAAGAGTACAAGGAATACGAAGAGATACAGTTAATAACCGTTTTGCTGTTGCTGTTGCGGTTCGATACAGTGACGACTCGGGCAACTGCTCAATAGCGAGTCAGTTGTTTGTCCTTGCTGTCGCGCTGTATTTGTCAGGTCAAAAGTCGCTGACCTTTGACTTTCGCATAACCTCCAGCAGTTGTTCAACCTCCGAGGGTTGACTCGCTAATGCTTCGATATGTTTTGCTTCGCTTCTGACTTGGTGTTTCGACACGACAGAGGCGCTAAATCAAGTGTTTCCAACAGATATAAGCGCACGCGCTTTTAATAGGCCTGCACTTATATCCGGTGTGATACGGTAGCTTTGTTCTCTTGCTTGACTGGTCTTGTGACCGTCTGTTATGTTTGCTATCCCCCACTTTGCCTATTGGGGTGTGTCAAACTATGTTTTGTATGCTCTAGGCTGTAGTGGGGCATACTCTAGTGAGTACAACCAGGGCTAATTTTATCAGGGTAATTACCCTGATTTCAGGGTGATTTCAGACTTGTCACGTTCTGTACCCTGAGAAATCAAGTTTTTCACATTTTGGTCCCTGATCCATTCAGAGTATTGCTTTAGCGGACCCTGAAATTTTGTGTACACTCTCAGTGTAGGGTTTTCACGGACCCTGTCAATACAGAGTACGAGGCCTGTGGACCCTGAATGCGATGTTATCGGGGCGAAGTTTCTCGGAAATTTCCTCCTGATAACCCCTTCGCATTGATTTCAGTGCCCCCCACGTGCGTAATCCTCCTCCCCCCCCCCCCCCCCCCCCCCCCCCTCGCTTTATCGAGACGAAGTTTCTTCGAAGTTTCGTTCCCATACACCCACCATCTAGATCGGGCGAATCTGTAATGTCAGATTTTAGGTTGCTGTTATTGGTCGAAATAGATGTGCTCTAACACAGCGCCAGACACATCGCCACAGTGCCAGTCACATCGCCACAGTGCCAGTCACTTCTGTCCTCGGTAAAGAAAGAGCGCGTTAATACGACCCTGATTTTCAATTCTCGACCCTGAACATTCAGAGTTCACTACTTCTCAACCCTGAGCAATCAGGGTGCTGTTTTTCTGGAAAATGTGCCTTCAGGGTAATTTTTTTTTTTTTTAGGTTGAAATCAGGGTACCTAAATTTGAAAAGTCAGCCCTGAGTACAACCCCTTAGGGTTTTCTACTTGTACTGTCATCCTACTCAATGCACACATCACTTCTTGACACAGGGCTGCGTGCGGGCGGCAGCTGCAGCAGCAGCACGAGTGCGCAGCAGGGCAGGCACAAGCAGCGATACGCTAGCAGGGCACGGTGCAAGGCAGCGTGCGGGCGGCAGCTGCAGCAGCAACACGAGTGCGCAGCAGGGCAGGCACGGGCAGCGCTAGCAGGGCACGGTGCAGGGCAGCGTGCGGGTGGCAGCTGCAGCAGCAGCACGAGCTCACTGGCAGGGCAGGCGCGGGGCTGCAACTAGTTGGCGACAACAGCGTGAAAGATGGCCAATGTAAATTACAGTACAGGTCGCATGCGCGCGGTTTGGAATCCTGACACTAGGCAACATATGCAGGATTAACGCGTCACAATCGTTTGTGACGCGTACATTCTGGACATGTCCGGAATGCACCCTAAAGAGTAACCTCAAAACTCATGCTGATAATCAGGGTTTCTGAAAAGACTACACCACTAATCAGAGAAGTCAAAATCCAAACATAGGCTCTGATCCCAGCCTACCTCTTCTCACCAACTGCAAAACAAATTAACTACATGAGATCGTGGTTTTAAGCATACACCTTGCATCATACCGGTACTGTTATGGGCATCATGACAAGAGAGAATCTAAATCTTAGCAAGCATTTGTCGGTCTAATCGCAAGGTAGTGAAAAACGAATGTTACGCTGACTTGTCCTTCTTTCCTAGGGCCTTCTTCCTCTGCCCCATCATGTATGTGTACATGTATGGGCTCCCTGCCATGCCAGACACATTGTACGTTAGCTACAAGTAATGGACGCAGCCTTTGGGTCCCCAACAAGAAAGTTAAGGGAATAACGATGGATTCCGACACATACTAGAGGATTCATTTCAACAATCAGGAACAACAACTTGTGTGCTAAGTACAACGTACCGGGGATGTAGGTGAGGAGAATGAGGATGCAGACGAGGTAATAGTCAACGGCAAAGTTGACCTTATTGGGCATGTCAAACGAGAACACGTGGGATGCCTGGCAGGGTGAAAGGGGGAAAGAACAGCTCAACACTGTGACGAGTGAAACAATATGTGGTACGGTAAGGTTTGAAGTGAAGAAAACACTGTCTTAAAAAAAGGAGCTAAAAACAGGCTAGTGGACCACATAGAATGAGCTGGTACTTTGTTTATTCCGACTGGAAGTTAGGGCTAAATACAGTTAAACAGCCCAAGGAAAGAGTTGGCAATGAGGGAAAGAGTTGGCAATGAGGGAAAGAGTTGGCAATGAGGGAAAGAGTTGGCAATGAGGGAAAGAGTAGATAAGGCGAAGTGTCCCAACATGCCACGCCCCTGACACCATGCCAACATCTGAGGTGTGGATGGAAAACCAGATGCCGAATGGAGTGAGAGCAGGAGAGATTGGGATTGCGTATGGTGAGTGAGTGGATATACCTTGGCGGACTGAGGGGAGATACCTTGCGATGCGAGTGTAGACACAGGGAAAGTGAGTGAAGATACTTGGAGGGCATAAACACAGGGAGAGTGTGTGGAGATACCGCGAGGGACAGTGCAGGGACAGCGAGTAGGAGACACATGGAGCAGGGCGAGCGAGAGAACGAGGCGAACCTTGAGGTAGGGCAGCGCAAGGAAGGCGAGCCCCACTTCACTGGTGATGCCCGAGGGGTAGAGCACGTAGAACATGCTGTACCTGTTGCGCGCCGCGCAGGGAGATGGGGAATGAGAGACACGGTGGAGGAGGGAGAGGGGGGGATGGGGGAAGGGGTGCACATCACATCAGCATGGAGGAGAGTGAGGGCTGGTGCCTGAAGGGTAGAGAGCACGTAGGACATGCTAGAGCACGTAGGGCATGCTGTACCTAAGGGAGATGGAGGAAGAGAAATGGCGTAGCAGGAAGGGAGATGGCGGACGAGATATGGCGTAGCGGGAAGGGAGATGGCGGACAAGATATGGCGTAGCGGGAAGGGAGATGGCGGACGAGATATGGCATAGCTGGAAGGGAGATGACGGACGAGATATGGCGTAGCGGGAAGGGAGATGACGGACAAGATATGGCGTAGCGGGAAGGGAGATGACGGACGAGATATGGCGTAGCGGGAAGGGAGATGGCGGACGAGATATGGCGTAGCGGGAAGGGAGATGACGGATGAGATATGGCGTAGCGGGAAGGGAGATGACGGACGAGATATGTCGTAGCGGGAAGGGAGATGGCGGACGAGATATGGCGTAGCGGGAAGGGAGATGACGGACGAGATATGGCGTAGCGGGAAGGGAGATAACGGAGGAAGAACGGGTGCACAGCAGCATGGGTGGAGTGAAGGTTGCTGGGTGAAGGGTGGAGCACAGGGGATGGGAGGGAGAGAAGCAACCAACCAGTGGTGCAAGCAGGTCAGGAGGAGAAGGAAGGAATGGGGTGGGGAGTGGCGAGGGGTTGGAAGACCGAGGAAGCAAGGAATGCAGAGATGGTCGAGTCAAGGTCGAGGGGTGGCTGGGGAATGCGAAGAGGGCATGGAGTGCGAGGGGCAGGGAGTGCGAGGGGCAGGGAGTGCGAGGGGCAGGGAGTGCGAGGGGCAGGGCGTCCGGGCGAGTTACTCAACTCGACTCGTCCGAGTTACTCGTCTAGGGGTGAGTAACGAGCACGCTTTTTCACGCTTCTAGAGCCGACGCGAGTTTTGCTCGACTCGTCAGTTTGCACAGGTGTAGCATAGCAGGGAGTGAGAAGAGCATGGAGTGCGAGATCATGGGGGCGCATGGGGTGCTTAGTACCTGAGCCAGAGCAGAGGCGCATGGGGTGCTTAGTACTTGAGCCAGAGCAGAGGCGCATGGGGTGCTTAGTACCTGAGCCAGAGCAGAGGCGCATGGGGTGCTTAGTACCTGAGCCAGAGCAGAGGCGCGGGCGTGAAGCCGAAGGCCTCCTTGACGGCGAAAAAGGAGTAGCGCACGATCTGACAGACAAGCACAGCACAGCACACACAGCAAGCACAGCACATACGGCAAGCACAGGCACGGGGAAGAGGGAAGAAGGGCGGGAGAGTGGGAGACGTGAGGGACGTGGGGAGGGAGAAGGAGGAGGGTAGAGCGAAGAAGGGGGAGCACATAGTTGTCAGGCGATGACAGTCAGGTGCTCGAGCATATGAGGCTGTAGTGACATGCGGAGAGGACGTGGACAAGTTTGGGCGCAGCTGTTGGAGGTCTTGCCTTACAGCAGGTATGGGAGGGGGATTGGGGGTTGTGGAGTGTGAAAGGGTGAGCCTACAGCCTACACTCTTGCCTTACAGCAGGTATGGTAATAGCGTGCTGCCGTGTCGTGTATACCCTCCACCTCCGGGCCTCCCCCAAGCTCGCCTCTCACCTCAGCTCACTCGCTCCTTCTCTCCTTCCTTGACTCTTTCCTCTCCTTCCCTCCCGCCCTCTCTCGCTTCATTCCTCACACGTTCACCGTACGCCTACCCCCAACTTCCCCCCTTTCCGCGATGTCCCTCGCTCAGCCCAATCTCCCTCTCCCTCATAGAACATTCATGCGTCACACACCCCCCGCACTCCCCCCACGCAACCCCAACGCACCCCCCACGCACCTCCCCCCACTCCCCCCACGCACCCCCCATGCGGCCCCAATGCACCCTGCGCGCACCCTGCGTGCACCCTGCGCGCACCCTGCGCGTACCCCCCGCGTACCCCCAGCGCACCTCAGTGATGGACCAGCTGAGCAGCAGCGACGCCACCAGAACGTGCTCCCGCACCTGCACACGTGGCAGGCAGTGGAGGCGATGGGGTGCACACGTGGCATGAGATGGTGGCGATAGGGTGCACACGTGGCATGCAGTGGTGGCGATGGGGTGATGGTGGGGCCGGGGCACACGGAGATGGGGACACACAGGAATGGGGAAAAGCGGTGATGGTGGGAAAAGGAAAAGCAGACGAGCGGCGGCAGCATAAGTGGAGGCCATGTTGTCACAGGGAAAGTGGAGGCCATGTCGTCACAGGGAAAGTGGAGGCCATGTCGTCACAGGGAAAGTGGAGGCCATGTCGTCACAGGGAAAGTGGAGGCCATGTCGTCACAGGGAAAGTGGAGGCCATGTCGTCACAGGGAAAGTGGAGGCCATGTCGTCACAGGAAAAGTGGAGGCCATGTCGTCACAGGGAAAGTGGAGGCCATGTCGTCACAGGAAAAGTGGAGGCCATGTCGTCACAGGGAAAGTGGAGGCCATGTCGTCACAGGGAAAGTGGAGGCCATGTCGTCACAGGGAAAGTGGAGGCCATGTCGTCACAGGGAAAGTGGAGGCCATGTCGTCACAGGGAAAGTGGAGGCCATGTCGTCACAGGGAAAGTGGCACCTTCACGGAACGCAAGCGGGTGCTTTCTAACTGTGAAAATGAATTCTCCATTGGGAGAACAGGCGGCGGTGCAGAGTCTGCGGCGCGGGGTAGAGCACCTGCGGCGCGGGGTAGAGCACCTGCGGCGCGGGATAGAGCACGCCCCAGACGAGGAAGAGGCGCGACGCGATCTGCGGGAGCGTGGCGGACACGGGCGAGCGCACGATGCCTGCCGCCCGCAGCGCACCGCACGTGGGGGAAGGGATGGGGGGGGAGAGAAGGGGGAGAGAGGGGAAATGAAGGGGCAGCGCGTGAGAGGCGCAATGCAAGAGGCAGGAGGTGCAGAAGAGGGACGTGAGGCAGCGATGCTGGAAGAAGGGGGGTTGGGGGCAGGGGGTAGGGACGATGAGAGGCACACATCCCAGGAGCAAATCACGTGGTACCGACTAGAGTTGCGGAAGCGAGCGTGCGATAAGAGAGCGATACGGAAACAGAGAAACGGAAACCGGAGAACTCACCGAGAATACTGTGGATGATCTGCGCGCGCGTGCCATGCCATGCCGACACAGAGGTGCGTTTTCCGCGGTGCCATGGGAGTAGGGAGAGGGACACAGGCGGTGGCAGTGCGGAGAAGAACACAGGAGCTGGCATATTAGAGGATTGTAGACGAGCCAAGGTTTTGATTGCGACGAGCAACTCGCTGAATACGGTCCCCATTGCATTCACTAATCCACGGATTTTGTAAATCCATCATCCCAGTAGCCGCGACTAACAACGCGGAGGTCGTAACGTCGGTAGCATGGATTCGCTGCAATGACGTGGAGAGACACCATACACCGGCATCTGCCGCAATGCACCTACCACCACATTGCATCCCGAACACAATCCTCAATATAAGCCTCTGACTGACCTCCATGAGTGCAGCGGTCTGAGCGATCTGCAGCGGAAGCTCCGCCGTGGCATACACGGTCGACGGTCCGCCCGTCGCCAGCGCTTGCACCGTCAGGATCAACACGTAGAGCCTGCCATGCGATGCCATGCGATGCCATTGTATCCCCGAGCAATCTCACATGACGTCATGCGATGCCAGGTGAGAAGATACATGCATGCCAAGGTGGCTGAGTTATGATGTGATGCATAAGCGGATTGCATAGCTGGTAATGAGGCTGCGCGGAGGGAAGTGCCACACACCATGCGATCGTGAGGGAAGTGCAACACACCATGCGATCGCGAGGAAAGGGCCACACACCATGCGATCGCGAGGAACGCGTTGTACGGAACGAAGTAGAGTGCTTTTAGCGACGCCATCGCAGTCGTTAGCGTGGACTCCTAACGTGCCGAGGAAATGTTAGCTTGGAAATGCACACGGCGCAGACGTTAGATTGACCCGCTGTTAGCGAAAACAGGATCGCCAGAGAAAGTAAGGAGGAACAGATTACTGCTGAGGCAATGAGCAAGGCAGAGACGAGAGTCGAGACTAGTGCAGTGCTTGCACGGGAAAATCTGTGAGGACACGAATCTGGCAACGGTTGCACTGAACCGCCCAGAACCGAGCTCGCCAGCCTGTCGAGGGCGGGAAGCAAGCTGATGCAGCCCCAGCCCGTGGACAGGTGTGGGGACCACCTGACACAGAAGGGGTCGCCCGCGCGCGGGAAAAAAAAAGAGAAACGCATCGACGATGGACGAAATAAGAAAGCGTACATATAGGACAAAATCTAAGTATTGGGATATAACATACGGTATGTCAGATAACCTTCAGGAAAACATTCGGATACAAAATTGACTGTCCGAGTACAGCGTCCAAACTGAGGGGAAAATATGCCACTCGTAATAAACAAGGGTCTCGATAATATGTTTTGTCAAGAGAATGAACGGAAATGAAAGAACTATGAAGAGTTGGGTACAAGTACTAACCCTAATTGGGTTGTACCCCTTATGGGCTACCCCACTATAGCCTACACAAATGTATAAACTATAATGTTCTGACACACCCCCATAGGCAAAATAGGGGAGAACAAGTGGTCACAAGACCAGTCAAAGAAAAGCAAAGCAAGCTCAGGATGGATCACAAAGTCACCACACAGTCCGAGCACAAGTAAAGGGCAACAAGGCCAGTTCACATGCAAAGTTATATAAAACAAAACAAACAATACAGTGATCACATCCTAGCAAGTGCAAGCATGCAGGTATATGTATATATAAATATGACAGTACAAGTAGAGTCAAGCAGTAAGCAAGTGAGGCAAAGTAGGCACAAGGCCTAACACAGTAGAGAAGCGCTGATGATCACCAGGCGGAAGTGCCTTTGTGAATATATCAGCAGTGTTGGCCCTAGTGGCCACGTACGCAAGACGAAGCTGACCACGCTGCTGCAACTCTCGAGCAAGGAAGTATCGCAGAGCGATGTGCTTCGTTCTGTGCTCCTAACACAAGGCAATCATGGCCTTGTTGTCTACGTACAAAACTTGAGGCGAACGAGCCTGCTCTACCAAGTCAGTCAGCAGGTAGGTGAGCCAGCGTAGCTCCTGTGCAGCCATGGCCCCGGCGCAGATCTCAGCCTCACAGCTGGAGCTGAGAACTGAAGACAAGCGGGTAGACCGCCAAGAAACAGAGCCAGAGCCAAGGCTAAAGGTGTAACACTGTGACGACCGCTGCGTAGCTGAGTCGTCAACCCAGGAAGCGTCTGCGTGACTGGTGAGGACAACTGGACCCCGTCCTCCAAGCACGAGCCCCATGCCCGACGTACTGCACAAGTAACGCAGTACTCTCTTCGCAGCATCCCAGTGCACCTTTCGGTGCCTGCCGGGAGCCACGTAGCGAGCCAGGAGGCTGAGAGGGTACGCGAGGTCAGGTCGAGTGCACGTCATCAGGTATATGAGGCAACCCACAAGCTCTGGGTACGGACCACTCGGCTCTACGGACCCGTCCGAAGGTGGAGCTGAGAGCGAGTGGCTGGTAGACAGAGGAGTGGGCTGTGGCGAGGAGAACTGGAAGCCGAAGCGCTGAAGGACCTGGTGCACCATGTGTGACTGAGTCAGGCTAATGGTGCGCCGAGCTCTGTCCCGGGTGATCTGCAAGCCAAGATAGCTGCGCAGTTCACCCAGGTCAGTGCAGGTGTGTCTCTTCTGCAACTCCGACTTCACAAGGGTCAGTGCCTGAGTGTCAGCAGTGGCAAAGACGAGGTCGTCGACGTACACGAGTACGTAGAACGGCGGCAGCGAGGTGTCGGTGCATAGAAACAGCGACGGGTCAGCAGTAGCAGGAGCAAACCCAAGAGCCGCAAGTGTAGTCCTCAGTGTGTCGTGCCACTCGCGAGGCGCCTGGCGGAGATCGTAGACTAGCCGTCGAAGACTCCACTGAGTGCCTGCAGGAAAAGACGCAGTGAAGCCAAGTGGGCGGCGCAGCCAGATCTCCTCGTGCAGGCTGCCCTGCAGGAAAGCTGTGCTGAAGTCCAGAGAGTGCAACTCGTAGTCACGCTGAGCAGCGACGTGCAGCAACACCCGAAGAGTAGTCATCTTCGGGGTGGGGGAGAAGGTCTGGAAGTAGTCAACTCCCTGTCGCTGACTGAAGCCTCGAGCAACGTAACGCGCCTTGAAGGCAGGCGGAGAACCCGGCGGCCGCATCACCCTGAAGATCCACATGCCATCGACTATGTTTGCCCCAGGTAAGGGAACCTCGTCGACGTAGGTGCCTGTGGACTTCCAGGATGCCATCTCGGCATCCATGGCTGCCTGCCACTGAGAGGAGTAAGGACCCGTAATCGCCTCTGCGTAAGTGTTCGGGGTCGGGATGTCTGGTGCATCCGGGTCTCCCTCAGGGGCAAGCAACATGGAAGCGAAACGAGGTACAGCAGCTGCAAGACACTCAAAGTCCTCCTGCCTGTCCTCAAGGATGTCCGTGCTAAGAGCACACTCACCCCTGACGGACGGAGGACTGGCAGACTCAGACTTAGGAACAAGAGCAGTGGCGTAGTCTAGACGACAGGCAGCAGCAAAGTCAAGCAGCTCAGCAACGAGAGCACACGCAGAAGCAGACTCAAACGAAGGGTCTGTGACAGCAGTGGCAAGGAGACGAGAGACAGTGGGACTGGCAGCACGAGCACGGTCAGACTCAGGGTCAGGGACGGCAGAAAGAGAGGAATCAGGAGGAGGCGGCAGAGGAACACGCAGGGGAACAGAGGAAGGACGAAGGGTCATAGCGTGCGTGCCGGGGACAGGAGGAGGACGCGAACTAGGAACACGACGAGCAGTGCGAACAGGGGAGGCAGGATGAGACGCAGGCTCACGACGCTCTGTAAGACCGCCAGGCTGCTCAGGGTAAGGAGAAGGAGCAGGCAGTGGAGAGGCCGGCTGTACCGGCGGCTGCGACTGGTCAGGCGGGGGACACAGGAGGGGAGGAGTAAGGTCAGTAGAAGACGGGGTACCAAGAACCTGCTGAAGCAGGGGAACGAAGTACGGTCGCGGCCGTACAGCGCCACCAGGGTCAACAGCTCCAGCTCCTCCAGCTCCAGCACCTCCCACACCAGGGTCAACAACTCCAGCGCCTACTGCGCCAGTGCCTCCAACTCCAGCTCTTCTAGCTCCAGCGCCACCAGCGCGAGTAGCGCCAGACTCCGTAAGGTCTCTAGCTCCAGTACCCTCAACACTACCAGTCCCGGCAGCTCCAGCACCCCTGGTACGAGCACCTCCAGAACCAGCAGCCGCAGTACCTCCAAGAACACCAGCTCCAGCAGCAACTCCAGTACCTCCAGCTCCAGCAGCGCAAGCACCTCCAGCTCCAGAAACTCCACTCCGAAGGCGCGCACGCCGAACAAACCACTCACACAACTGCTGCGGAGACAGTCTCGGCGAAGCACCTGCAGAACCTCCAGACGAAGCAGCACCCTGAGGCTCCGCACCTCCAGACTCTGCACCCTCCGACGCAGCACCCCCAGGCTCAACACCCTCAGGCTCAGTACCCCCAGGCTCACCATCCCCAGTCACAACACCCCTAGGCTCAGCACCCCCAGTCTCAGCACCCTCACACTCCGCACCCCCAGGCTCCGCACCCCCAGACGCAGCACCCCTAGACACACCACCTCGAGCAGCACCTGAGCCGACAGCTACCTGAACAGGCGCAGGACCAGGGAGAGGGTCTACCTGAGACACACCTGAGGGAGCAGGACCCAGGGGCGGGAGGGGGTCTACCGGTGGGGGACCGGGAACAAGGATGAGAGGCGGGGGCGGGGGAGGAGCAGAGCGGTAGGGGAAGAGACGGTAAAAGGGAACCGACTCGTCAAACGTGACGTCTTGAGAAGGGAAGATACGGCGCGAGGTGGGGTGGTAAAGCAGCCCGTCAGGCGCGTCAGGGACAAAGCCAAGGAAGACGTAGGGAATAGCACGGGGGGAGATCTTGTCCGTGGACGTATCGTGAACAAAGGCACGAGATCCCCAGACCCGGAACACCGACGCATCGCCAACCTCCCCCGTCCAACGCAGTGTGGGCGACGTCTCCGGCAAGGAGACACGGGGCCAGAGGTTGAGCTCATGCGCAGCGTACCGGACCGCAAACGGCCACAGAAAATGGGGAGCAGCCGCATGGATCATGGAGGTACGAGCGACCTCCATGACTAAGCCAATGCGGCGCTCAGCAATCTCTTTTTGCTGAGGGGA